TATGGCTTATCCACTTACAATGATCTAAACTTCTGGTGATGTAAAAAGCAAGCAGACAAGACAGAGATGACTGGTGCATTAAACTACAGTTACATTCACACAGGCATAACTTGCTTGTGCACATTATCCACTTCACAAACCTTATAGTTTGAGAACTTACCACACTGTCTAAACCAATGTAGCTACCAAGTTTCATTGTTAGAGGACCCGGCATAAGTAAGTTTATGGCACAAAGGTTCGATCACTTGACATTACTGAAAAGCTGCAAACAGTTTCTCACAGATTGGTTGAGGAAAGGTCAGAGGCTCCCTTGCAATCAACCAGCGTTATGGCTTTTACAAAGGGCCTATGAAGCTGTTGGAACATCTCCCAGGCAAACATTAACTGACACATAAATAGCACTTATTTAGTTTGCTGGTTATCTTTCCCTAACACATCCATTCACATGGCAATACACAAGCACATACTAACGCTTTAATAATTCTCAGTTACTCCATTACTAGCTAGTGAACACGGGATTGGGAGTCTCAGTGTAGCTACTAATTATGGTCTTGTTACTGCCTATGAGAAAGGTTTTAAACCACTCGTTTGTCTCTGCAAGCCTTTTCTATACCACACAAAAATGCTAAGACGCAAGTGGCACATGAAGAGAACAATAAAAGATGCCTTCATCACCTTCCTGTTACTCTCCTACATTAAGCTGCTTAATACATCTTTCCTAATAATGTCATCAACTGTCATCTATGATGAATATGGTAAGATGCTCGGAAGATTTCTCGTTGTTGATGCAAGGGTTAAGCTCATGAGTCCCCAACACTTGCCCTTGGCTATTGTTGCCATTTCTACCCTTCTTTCGTTGATCTTCATGCCAACCCTTCTCCAGTTGCTCTATCCAATGATGTGGTTTCAGAGACTCCTGAACAGAATGGGGCTCAACAGATCAGGTCTGCGGCTGTGTATGGAATCATTTCAGGGCTACTATCGAGACAGGGCTGATGGTGGGTGGAAGTGCAGGTACTTTTCAATATTATACCCAAGTCTTAGGATAATAGCTTATTTTTTAATCTTGGACATTCGTAATTTACGCTACCTCACGGCTTGCAGTTCAATCAGCATCACCGCTGCTGCCATTATCCTCATAGTGAGACCATACAAGACAAAGTACAGGATCTACAATACTGTTGATGCTTTGCACATTCTTGTTTTAGCATTGTTTCCTCTTTTCCTGTTGGAAGCTCTTTTGTATTCTGATATAAAGCAACCTAGAAATGATGTTAGTGGAGTGATCTGTGGAGCCTTGGTACTTACTCCACTGCTGTACTTCACAGTCAGGAGTGTCTTCTACATTTACAAACAAATCCGTTCTCTTATGACACTTCACTACAAACATGGAATGGAAAGAAATGTGTTAATGCCCAAACTGTATCAGAGCGTCGGTAGACGCTCTATATAGGGATGACACGGGTGAAATCTCACGTGATCCGCGTACAAAACGCCTCAAAACTTGGCGAGAAAGACTCACCATTGCTTGAAAATCACTAGCAATAGTCTACAGGCCAATACCTAGCTATACATACTCCCCAAGACTTCCTACGTGCCCTCAGTTCCCCACGAGAGAATTGCCTCTTACGCGATTTCACGATTTTCGTGTCATCATCATCATCATCATATTCTTCATCTTCCGGTTTCTTCTTCAGTAAACCCGCTATCTCGTTACCGAAAATAGTTGAAGTGCTGATTTTTCCATCAAACGTTTCCAGATTCGCCAGAGGTGTGCACGGACATCAAGCGATCGTCTCTTTCATGCCGCAAGTCACTACGGTAGATCGTTGAGCTCCTCCACGGTAGTCACTGAACAACGCCATTTTTGCTGCTAACTCAGCATCAGTGAGCCGCATGCGCCGAGGAGGGCGTTTCCAATGCGGTGCGCGCGCATTACATAGTCTCGCTCCACGAGAAAAAGCCAGGATGCCTGCAGAGGACCTCTCATCCTCCAGCGCCTTCTGTAAGTCAGTATACACATTTAAACTGGCTACCTTGCTTTTAGCTGTTGATTTGCAGGTGGCAGTCTGCGCCGGGTTACGCGAGCCCTATACCGGGCGTACAAATTGGCCTTCATTCTTTGTCCCCGGGTAGCTAATAGTAATCTGGTTACTGAAGCCTGCCCATGAAATCGCCACCGTGTGCCACAACCTAATTGCGTCCTTGTTGGAGACACTGCGTACACCCCGCTTAGGCGCAGCAGCCCATTAGCTACTGCTTTCATCAGTTATCTCTACAACATACCCATGAACATCAGGTGACTGAAAATGCAGTGTTGTCATAAGCAGTTAAAAATAGTGGAAACAAGTGGAAAAATCATTTCTTCAAAATGAAAGGGGGATATAGGGATGGCTTGAAGCACCAAAAAGGAACAAACAAGAGGGTCATTACACAGCAAAGTTGCACAAAGCTACATGACACCATCCCTATATCTTTGTTGTTATACGGCTCTGCAATAGAGGTTGTCTTGCATGTATATTTAGCTCAAGGGAAAGTTTGCTTATAAACAATAAAACAAAGATATAGGGATGGTGTCATGTAGCTTTGTGCAACTTTGCTGTGTAATGACCCTCTTGTTTGTTCCTTTTTGGTGCTTCAAGCCATCCCTATATCCCCCTTTCATTTTGAAGAAATGATTTTTCCACTTGTATATATACTTTTTAATGTGTGAAACTCTTGCATAATTAAACTTTTTTCTGAGCAAAGCGAGCCTACCTAGTAGTCTTTTATGTTCACATTATGTGTAACAGCAGATGAAGTTAAATCATCTCTTTCTCTTGTTCCATAAAATGCTGGATCCCGTTTATTTTTCTGTCCACATGTAGGGATGGGGTTATGAATGACTTTCAGTGTCGGTGTAGGCATCCTGTTGTTCCACTTCGTTTGAATGCAGTGACGTCCTTATACTCAGTTTTCGATTATGGGGCAAAGCCTTAGTGAGAAATAAATGCACGTTTGTTAGCTAATGGTGAGTGTGTTTTCATTATGTGGTGGAGTTGGGGAGGCAGGGACAATTCAGAGTTGCTGATGCTGAAACCAATGTAGTATGTGTCAGCATACAGAAACAGGCCCACGTAGGTTTAAGAAGGGTGATATGTATTGCCTACAACATACACAGTTATCGTTAGATGGGCTGGGTTCCATATTCCAACTCCAGGCTAGGACACAAAAATCTCACAGGCTCAAATACTAGTGAAAATGTTGAACATTGTTGGCGAGCGGGAGCGACCCAACTTGGGATTTGCACTCGATGTTCGGCTGCATAACGTGCCGTCAGGCGCACAGCTTTCCTTTCGTGAAGCAAGACAGATGTACCTGTCGCCGTTACATGCGTATTGTACATTGGCAGAACGGTGAGCAGGTGAGCAGAACGGCATATACTTAGCTACCTTACGCTTTCAGCTCGTCAGTGGTGGTCCACCAGGCAGTGGCATGCAGCAGTATGTGCACGAGCAATCCTAGCGTATTTGTAAGTTTCACCTTGGAACCATGAAGATTGGGAAGAGGTACAGCCTCGGTCAGTCACCGAAGATTGCAGCGCGAATGGAGGACTCGCAGGCTAGATCGATCAGCACATATCGCGGTGTCAAAATGTGTAAGAATTTGGAAATAATTTCGGATAAAAAGAAGCGCGTACAAAGCCGCGCATGCGCACTTACACGACGTACGACGACGGACGTCCGCTCGAACGAACGACTAGGTTGGCTCGCTCCCGCTCGCCAATTACAAAAGATTTCACAACAATAATCATTGATGTTTGAAAACTTTTATTTCCATGTTAAAGGGTCACATCCCCGAATTTGCAATCTGGGGGATGTATATAGAAGATGGCCATGCGCGTAAACATTATTTGCGTGCTGTGCCGCGTATCCGACTCCGCACGCGCTGCATGGTCATTAATGTGCCAGTGACCATGTGATATGCAGTTCAACCATCTGTAGAGCAGCTAGATTAGTGGTCTCTCATCGTACTGCCGAGTATTCAGTTACATCAATGCAGAATTTCAACAAGTCTTAAAAATACCTCCTTGCGTGCACTTTTGTCAAAAGAGACTGCCCCTGTTATAATTATCCTGCAGAACCACCTGAATTACTTCATGCAGTGACACGTCCGTACGACACTATTTCTTGAATACTTTTATGATCATAATCTTACAAAAAAACTCCAATGACAGACAAGAATCCAGATTTATTGGGGTTTAATCGAGGGTTTAATGTCCAGATTTGATGTTGGAAGGGATTGGCAACTCTGATACTGGCTCGTGCACTTTGTTTTCATTCTTATAAGAAAATCGCTATTAGACAGTGTAGGGTTAAGTCTGTTGGTAGCTATCATTAATTTTTGGATGCCTTGTTGTGTGAAGTTGAAGACAGACAGATGGGTGGACACACAGACGAAGTATATAACCCTTGCTGAGTATTATCGCTATGTATAGACATGTAAACATTACGCCCACTATTGATACACACTATAGAAAGATGGCAGCTAATTGCTGCTGAGACAGGTCTGCCCAGGACAACTAGACATGTAGTAAGGCCAACAGCTATGGTCACTAGTGTAGTTGTTTTACATAAACAGTGCTCTTCAATACTGCCTCCCTCCCTCTCTCACTATTCCTTGCTGGCATTCTGGATCAGTATCACTTCTCCAGCTATTGTCCTAATGTTCTGTTGTTATCAATTTTCTATTACAGAGTCAATTGGCACTGTGCATTGAGCTTATTGGTCCGCTCCATCCATCAATACAGCACTTCTTGATGTACATACACGATCCCTATCATCTTTGTCTCATGCTAATACGCTCAATGAACAAAGATAAGAGGAAGTGTGACCCCATCAGAAGGCCTTCTAGCAACAGTAGTGTAGCAGGAAATTTTCAGCGGTAATGCGCGTCGCTGCGCGTAATTATGCGCATGCGCGTGACAAAAGTTAGCGTTCTCAGTTCTTGCAAAAAAGATGAAGTCTGGATTCATATGCGGGTCGTTTGGCCTCCTACTATTAGTGATAGGTAAGTCCAATAAGAGTGAATTTGTGTGTTGGCATCATATCATCGAGATATATAGCTAGCTATACCGCCTATGCAAATCCCTTCACAGATTACTTGGCAACAGAAACTAAAGGTCTCCCAGAATGTGGAGTCACGAAGTAAGTCGAATTACACCCTGCCTGGCTAAGGACCTCTCTAGTCAGCCTTTTCTGGCATTGAAATGAGTTCATGATAGCAAACCATTCCTGGGTCCTTTGAAATGTTATGTTACACATTTTCCTCCTCAATCCAGCTGTACACGACAGCCTTCGAACCTCTGCAGCACTGTACTGGGAAGAACCAGTGATCATGTTGCACCACCAAGCTTTCATGTGGACATCAGAGTGTGGGGACGCAATGACTTGCTACTGAAATTGATTCTCGAGCAGACAAATTCCGCGCCTACTTGCTATGAATTTGCCATACATTTAATGTGCTTAATGGCAGCGCCACCCTGTAATCCCAACACATCATCTCTCATTCTTCTCTGTCCCGAGACTTGCATTGCTTTGAACGTGCTTATTTCCAGTGGCGTATGTAACAGTTTTTTATCCGGTGCCATTCAACACTTTGAAGAAATGGATGAAACCTCAGAAAATATTCAATATTTCGTTACCTTCAACTGCTCTGATCCGGTGACCTATTTTCTTAACAGTACAGCAGGCATTTGTGATGATTCCACATCATCCTGTACAAATCTCTTTAGCCCTGCAAGTCAAGGTATGTTGAAGAGTTTTCTGCATCAAAATTCTCTCCTGAGCCTGTGCTTTTAATTCATTGTTTTGTAGAGCTGCTTCTTAAAAGTGGATCACTGTCTAGGTAAGTGAAAACCATGTGAAAACCTTCGACTGGTTTGTTGAATAAGTGTATTGTTCTATATCTAACATTAGCTGTGTTCCTCTGATTGGATCCCCATGTAAAGCACTGTTTCCCAACCAATTCAAAAATGCCATCCAAATCCCTGGCCGAGCTAACCAGGAAGAAGCTATATTCAAAATCCTGGCTGATACTGCTCCTTTGTTAGATGACACATGCAGTCGGTTGCTGAATCTGACGGCTTGCAGCTACATTCATCCACCTTGTAATGAGAAAGGTAATCAAATGTAACTATTGTAGTGCATATCGACATGGTGTAATATTTCTACAGTTGAGCAGATACCACTGTGTGATTGTGAAAGGACTAAGCAGATAATTTGGGAACACTGCTACCTAACAAACGTTCTGAGGACTTTAAATGTGACAATGACAAGCCCTTCTTTGCCACAATCATGAAGTTAAACTGCTCGGATCCAGCCACACATCTCATCCCATCTGTTCCAGTCGACAATACATCATGTTCAAGTGTAGCCGATTTACTTGATATTTCAGGTTAAAGAAATTGTTTTTTTTCTAGGTACTTATTGACAAATCACATATTTCCACAGATGATGATGATGGGAACACTAGCTTCTTAAGAGGTACCATACAAAACAAAAATGTTGTACACAATTAATAACCTTCAGGTTTTCCCACTCATTATTAGCAAAGTACATAAGTAAACTCAGCATTGAGTACCGTGTTGCCAACTGCACGCATGTACATGCAGCCCCGTACATAGGTGCTATTGTCGGTGGAGCTGCAGTGCTTGGTCTGCTAGTGGTACTACTGACTGTGACTGCCATAGTCTTGTGTACTAGAGCCAGGGCCAGACACAAGATGAAGATACAGATGGCTCAGAAACTCTCCCAAAGGTAAAATGGCGTCCAGAACCTTTGACAGAGCAATACAATAACATTTGAAAACCCCCAAAAACGACTACCCGTACATTCAAAGAGACTGAAAAATTAATGACATATCAACTGAAAATTATTAAAATAATAACAGAATTTCTTGTTAATTTTGAACCTATTGTGTGGGTTCAGCTATTTTTTTGTTAACCCACCCAAAGGTGCAAAATAATAGGAAATCCTGCGATCATTAAACAGTTTCGACAACTGTTATTATTATCGTTTCAGTTTGACACTTAGCAACCTACAAAGAGAAGTAAGCAGTCAGAGAGAAAGACCTGAATGTGAGTTGAACCAGAACATAGGATTTATTTACTCTCTTCATTATTATTTACTCTTCATAATTACCATTAGGTAATGGTGAATATGATAACGAGGAGAGGATATGGACACTACCAGAGAAAGAGCAAAGAGAGCTAGAGCTCCAGGTTTGGCGGTTCAGTTGTATGCTTCCAGTGTTACTGTGGACACTGAAAACTGCCTAGGACAAGGTGTTTCCATACAACTCAGTACAGTTAACAAGGGACACTAAGGGAGCTACAGTTTTGTCCCTTGTAGAGAGGTCGCTCTATCTTGGAGGAACTAAAGTATTAGCATGGGGAAGCAAGAGTCAATTGTAGAGGGGTCATCTATATCTCGGAGGGTCCCTTATCAAAGGTTCCACTGCAGTGCATTGCCTCTGTGCTCTTCTTTCCATTTAAGTAGTGCATTTTCACTGTTTAGGGAAGTTTCTTGTCAACAGGTGCATTTGGGAAGGTATACTCAGGAAGTATGGAGATAGGTGGCACAAAAACTGTTGTTGCCATTAAAACAGTCAAACGTAAGACACTATAGTTGTCCTCTCTTTTGATCTCTCCTGTGTATGAGCTGTGTGATACATTCAGGACTGAGTACAGAGGAACAGTTGCGGTCATTTCTTGCAGAGAGTCTGATCATGAAAGACTTGAAGCATCCGCATGTTCTTGGTCTCCTGGGAGTGTGTTTCGACACCCCGGAACATTCTCCATACATCGTCCTACCCTTCATGGCCAATGGATCTGTCAAAACCTTCCTTAGAGCGAGGAGAGTCCACCCAACTAACTTTGATGATTTTCCTGTTGTATGTTATTATTACAGTGTAAAGGGTACCATTAATACTATGTATCCGTATTGAACAGGGACTGAAATTTGGGGACCTGGTACGAATGTGCATAGAGATTGCTGAAGGAATGAAGTATTTGACTGATAACAAGTTTGTTCATCGTGACCTGGCAGCACGCAACTGCATGTGAGCTCAATACTATACCAGTTAGTAGGATTTCAACCATCTATTTTAGGGTGAATGAAGAAGGTATGGTGCTGGTAGGAGACTTTGGGCTGGCTAGAGACGTGTACAGCACAGAGTACTACAGAAGTGGAGGTAATGCAAAACTCCCAGTGAAATGGATGTCTCCTGAAACACTGAACGATGGAATCAGTAATGAAAAGACAGATGTTGTAAGTTTCAAGAACTCACAGTACCTTTTAGCTAGGGATTCCTTTCTTACTCCATATCCCAGTGGTCGTATGGAGTGGCGTGTTGGGAGGTGTTCAGTCTGGGTCGCAGTCCCTATCCTGGTATTGAGAATCACGAGATACTCCAGCACATCTCCTCTGGAGGGAGACTCAACAAGCCAACTCTCTGTCCTGACAAACTGTGAGCCCCTTGTTTATACATAACATACTTAGATTAATAAATTTTCGCCCAACACTACTTCCTGTGCCTCATCTTAGTGTTTGTGTTGGTGTTGTGTGTTACAATGCTGGTAGGTACACCCTATTGTTCCAATGCTGGTCTTCTCTACCTGAAGATCGGCCATCATTCTCTGAACTGTTTGTACATCTCAAGGACTACTGGGATGAAGAACATCTCTATGTGATCCAAAACTTTGAAGTGTAATGCCATCAGAAGACCTTCCAGCCGCCAGTGTCATTGTTTCTTTTTAGTTTTGTCTCACTTAGCATTTACTGTATGATAACATTATGCACTCTTCGCTATAATTGCTTTTTTTTATCATCTTATGTTTCTATCCAACCAGTAAACAAAAATGGCAGCAGCTATTACTAAAATCGGGCATTACTAAAAGCAATGCTCAGCAAGGGTTCAAGGTTGGAAGCACCAGCGGAAAAGAAGGCAAGTTACACAAGGACACCTATGAAGTGATCTGATGAAAATCGTAAAGCAATATTAAGCCAATACAGTGCGAAGAGAGTGTTGATAATTAGTCAGATGTCCTTTATAGGGCTATATTGGGGTAAGTTTTTGGATAAAAATTAACCTGAAGGTGTAAGTGTAGGCTTATCTTCAGCTTTAGTGTCGGAGACCCAGATTGCAGCATCGATGCTGCACTGCATGTGGTAGCTGGTGTCCTCCTTGGGCCAGCACTCCCTGCAGTCTGGGTATGTTCTCTGTCGCAAAACACTCCTCCAGTGCCTACTCAGAAGGGCTATAAAATAATAGGTACTTAATTTTCATTCTTTCACTGGGCCTTTCTAACATTTTAAAGTTAGCTCATTGTGACAGCTGTACTGTTTTTGCAAGCTACCTTATAGTGTAAGTTGTACTTTCTATGTATGGTTGGGTACAGCCGATCCTATATAATCTTAACAGCCAAGTCATGTGGAGGCTGGGAGAGTGTCACATAATGAACAGAATGGGGCTCAACAGCCTAGGTCTGCGGCTGTGTATGGAATCATCATTAATTATCAACATCGATCAGCATCACCACTGCTGATCCTTTTAGTCAGAACGAAGAAAAAGTACAGGATCTACAATGCTGTTCGATGCTGATGTTTTAGCAGCCTTCATCTGTGGAGCCTTACTCCTCTGCTCTGTTTCACACTCAAGATGTACAACTAATTGCTTTTATGGCACAATGTTTGTGCTTCAGACAAGTATAACTCTATGTATTTTTTACTGACACATGATTGTAGTAGAAGTGGCAACAATAGCAAAAGGCAAGTGTTGGGGACCAATGAGCTTAATCCTTGCATCAATAGTGAGAAATCTACCAAGCCTCCTGCCATATTCGTCATAGATGACAGTTGAATCCAAAATTTGAAGAGATGTAATAAGCAGCTTGATATAAGACAGAAGCAGGAAAGTGATGAAGGCATCTTTAATCGTTCTCTTTATGTACCACTTGCGTCTTAGCGTTTTTGTGTGGGATAGAAAAGGCTTGCAAAGAAAACTCAGTTGTCCTTTCTCATAAGCAGTAACAAGACCATAGAAGAAAATCAAGAGAAGAAGAGGATAAACAGCCACCAGGTAGTCCAAGGCAATCACCTGCAATGTTGTCAGAGGCAGGCATACAGGGGGAATAAGAGCTCGAAAGCGAAAGCCACACAGGTTAATCCTCGATGCGCATGCACGCCGAGGGTTCAATTTTGTTCGTCTGGCCTATATCACAGTGTAGCTGACTGTTATAAGTCCAAGCCTCCAGGTTTCTACAATTATACTGCACCAAAGCTTTTCACTTTCCTAAAAAATGTTTCATACCTAGCTACACATTCTTACACAGTTTAGGGGTATCAACACATCCATCCAGCTTCCTTGGCTGTAGCAGATATTATTACTATTATTATTATTATGCTTTACAGTACATGAAAAAAAATGAAAACAGTGAAAGTGGAGATGATGGAGGCATTAGAGATGACATGTACTGAAGGTACACCAGAAAGATGCTGATGTCCTAGGAGGTAGAATAACTAGTAACTATGGACGAACACAAACACTTAGCACATGGCATACATAATGGAAAGAACAGGGGCCAGAACAGAGAAAACAAGAGTTAAACTTGGTCCAGAAAACTTGGTGAAGGTGGCTTAATGGAAAGGTCGAGATTGATTGGCGGAAGAGAGTTCCAGAGTCGTGGAAGTCGGTTGAAATAATGATGAGCAGAGGCATTAGACTTTGATAGTGAATGAGTTAGTTTTTGATGGGTGGAGGACCGAGTGATTCCTTTAGAGAACTGGACGTAGGAGAGGATTGAAAAGGCATTTGAAGTGTCGGGATTCTTGAGGCAGCGAATAAAGAACAAGACGTAGATTGAGGGACAAAACACGATGTTTATAGTCAGAGTGAAAGTCATTCAGAATGTATTTAGTGGCACGTCGCTGGACACGTTCTAGTGCCAAGATGTCTTTGATGAGATGGGGCCTCCAGATCTGCTAGGCATAGGTGAGCTGAGAACGAAATTAGCGTGATGTACAGGTTATTTTTAGCAGAGATGTGCAATCCTGAGGAGAAAGTGCGCCGGATAAGGCCTAAAATCTTGTAAGCTCGAGAGGAAATAAACATCAGGTGGTTGCTCCACTTCAGATCGCTAGACATTAAAATACCGAGATCACGATGGCAGTTAATAGCTTGGATAGGTGAACCATTGATGATGTAGTTAAAGTGAATTGGGGGAAGTTTGGAGCAGAATCTGAGTAGGACGCATTTTGACGCATTGAAATATAGGTTCCATTGAAGACTCCAAGAAGAAAGGCATTGAAGATCTTCTTGAAGAGAGTGACAGTCAGATAAGGAAGATACTTTCTTGAGGCATTTAGTATCATCGGCAAATAGGAGTAGGTGAGAATGTTTCATGGAAGAAGGGATGTCGTTAACAAAGATTAAGAACAGAAGTGGACCCAAAATACTTCCTTGAGGGACGCCAGAGATAACAGGGAGTGGGTCAGAAATGCAGCGATTAAGTAAGACGTGCTGGGAACGACAGGTGAGATAGGCCTGGACCCACTTCCATAGGTTTCCAAATCACCAGAGCTTGGTAAGAAGTTCATTATGAGAGACACTGTCAGAGGTCTTCCTGAAATCGAGATAAACAACATCTGCTTGGGAGGAGGAGGAGGAGGTGAGACAGTGCTGGATAAGATTGAAAAAAAACCAGCAATTGTTGAGTTGCGGAATGCCTAGGTCGAAACCCAAACTGAGCAGGAGAGATTGAAGCAGACACAAAGTCAATGATTTTGTTGTATATCAACTTTTCCAGGACCTTAGATATTATGCAAAGTTGGGAGATAGGGCGGTAGTTGCGAACTGATGACTTGTCTCCAGACTTGAAGACTGGGATAATGAAAAGCACTAAAGTGCAAACCCTCGGCGAACTGCGCATGCGCGGTACAGCTAATTGATGGGCTGGGCTATTTGTAGTATGCGCGGAGTAGCTCGCGAAGAGTCTGAGACGGGCTAGCTACAGTAGGCGGGAGTCGATAAACGCCCTTCGTTGTGACTTCTTGTGCCTCCAAGGTACACAGAGCAAGCGGACCCGGTCGAGGTAAGCCTGTGCTAATTTGCATATTGGCTTGTTCACTTGGTTTTCATGCCATAACTTCTGAACGCGGCACTTTTACAAAAATCGGCATTTTAAAAATGAAGCGGGTGTAGCGCTGAACCCGTTGGTGTCGCTATTTTACCTGTTTGTCGCGCGTGGTGGCAGAAAACGTGGACGGACGGACAGACGGACAGACGGACAGACGGACAGAACAAGTACTGTAACCCTCGCTGCGCATGCGCGCCGGTTGTTAATCAGGTGAGTTCGCCAATCATTAGTGCTGGGAGAGACTTAGTAAGAAGAGATGATGGATGGGTTTGTAGAGGGCAAGTGCGCAGTGTTTTAGAATTTTAGGACCAACTTCATCAATTCCCATAGCTTTGGATGAATCCAGAGAGGACAGAGCATCAAACACGTCAAGCTCCGAAATGCCTATATCAGACAGAGTGGAAGAAGGAGTTGCCAACTTCTCTAGTGGAGGGATCTGGAACGAGCTCCTGGTGAATACAGAGTGAAAGAATGTGTTGAACAGGCATGCTTTGTCACTGTCACTCGAGCCAGTAGAGGAGTCCAAACAGAGAATAGGTGGCACAGAGCTGGTTGATGAGAGGCTTTTAATATACTTGAAAATGTTACTAGAGGTTTGCGTGGACAGGTTCTTTTCAAAGTCCAGTTTGGCTGAATTCATGAGAGAGGTGAGATGAGATTCAAGAGAAAGAAGGGATAAATTATTGTGAGTGGGATTCAACAAACATTTTCTTTTTAGGGTTCGCAGGCATTTGATTGTGTGAATGATCTTAGAGTTTAACCATTTTGGATACTTCCGATCTTCTACTCTCACTTTTGGGATAAACAAGTTCATTCCTCTGAGAATAACTTGTCTTATAAATGACCATATCTGTTCAGAAAGAAAACAGCAGCTGAAGTCAGATTCAAATAGGAAGTCACATAGACCTTAGTAGTCAGCATTGGTGTAATCAAACACAAGTGATGATTTAAACCTCTTAGTTGGGGAGGGGGTGTGTTCGACGTAGAAGGAAATAAGGAAGTGGTCAGAGGTTAGAAAGGAAGTTGACTCAGACACTGACAAGTGGCCGATGAGGTGTTCATTGTTAGTAAGAAGTAAATCAAGTATGTTGCCTTTTACATGTGTAGGACAAGTTATGAGCTGAGATAGGTTAGACTCAAACAAAAAGTCACAAAAGAGGTTAGATAGCAGAGAACTACCAGAGAGAGTGGACCAACAAATGTCAGGCAGGTTGAAGTCACCGACAATAATAAATAATTCTTCACTTTGGGAAAATGAATTTAGGAAATCAACAAGAAGATTGAAATAAGCAACGTTTGGGTTTGGAGGAATGTACACAGTGCAAATGGAGATATTATGATTACCTGCAAAGCAGAGTTTAATAGCGACTACTTCCAGGTTGGGAGGTGAAGTGATCAAGTAACTTGGAAGGAGGTTGTTTACTGCTATGAGCACACCACCTCCGCGAGACTCTCTATCTTTTCGATACAATGTGAACTTTATCTGGGAGAACCTCCTTGTCATAGATGAAGTCAGATAGCCAAGTTTCTGAAATACAAATGACATCAAATGCATGAGAATAAACAAAAGACTGGAAATTGGAGAGCTTGTTGACTAGACTGCGTGAATTTAGGTAACAAAGATGGATGTCATTTGATAGTCATTGATCAGAGACTGGAGCGGGAGAAGAGCGAGTAGAGGGGGAGGAGAAAACTGAGGAGGATGTTCAGAAG